AAAAAAAAAAAAAAAAAAAAAGAAAAAAAAAATTATAACCAGACATGTTAAATTCTAACTAGACATAAGATTTGTCATTTTGATTTTCTTTAGAGATACAAACAAATTATAATAGCCAACGAAGCTGGACTAAAATACAAAAGCAAAAACACACATCTAATAAATAAATAAAATAGAACTTCCCCTAAACCTAGCGGGCAAGCCAAACGAACACCTAACCGACCCCCGAGACCCCCACATCGCAGCTAAAGGAACAATGAAACCACAAATCTAGATCACGGACCCAAAAACTGTGGACGAACCACCTAGACAGATCCAACAAGGAAGCCGTTTTGGCTCTAAATTTGGGCTCCGAAAGATTTCAACGTGGGGGAAGAAAAAGGAGTCACCACGAACAAACCGAAGGGCTCAAAATCAAGACCGAGGAAAGACCATCCAAGACTGCAACCAGTCGAGCGCCCGCTGGCCGGCCAATTTTTTCAAGAGGATCAAATCAAGTTCCCTTTCCATCCGGCCGGTCCGGCATTAAACATGCAAAAAATAACAACTTCCACAAGAAACTGCAATTGTTTCCACATTAAATCTAAAAAAAAAAAGGTAAAACAAAACAAGGTTTTGGAACTTCAACGAACATCTATTGAGTATTGAACAACACAATGTGTATGTATATATATTGCCCTCACAATTCATGAAACATCACCAAGGGGCAAGGCTCTATGAATAAAACAATAGTCTATAAAAGTTATTCCACGAATATCAGAAACAATAAAAGTACAGATAAAAATCCCTCTTCTTTCGGAGTGTCCATCAACTCCATACCAAATTCAAACTCAAATGCTACACCACAGTTTGAGAGAAAGAAAAAAAGAAGAAAAAAAAAAAGTAATTCAGATCTCACACGCATTGAAAAGATTTGGATCAGACAATGCTAGGTGCGTCCCCTTCCCACGTGCAAACCGAGCGTGCCCAACGAGTCCTAATACAGTCGACCAAAGGCGCGTGCTGAGGTTTAGACACCTCGCATGAACTCCCGGCCGACGAGGATGAAATAGGTATATCAGACATGAATTCCTCGGGCGTCCACCTAGGCGGGACCGAAACCCTCAGTTTTGTTAGCCTGGGCCTCTGTATCGGGCTCTCGTTTCCCACAATGTGGGCCCCGTTAGCTATAGATTTTGCTATCCCGTTAAAATGATACAAGTCAAAGACTTTTTTGCCCATCATCCCGGTCGAGTCCTTCATGCCTCCCAAACTCTTGTCGAGGTCCAAAAGAAGCTGCCAGAATTCGGTCCACACGACAAAACCCACGCTCGAAAAGTGCTCGATTTTTTCGGGCGGGAGGTTAATGTTGGCATCCCTGAGAACTTGACGGAAGCCTTCAACGGTAATGAACCCGCCACCGCCACTTTGGTCTTGCGAGTCAAAAGCTCGGCGGATCTGGGATTCTCGGCTCTCGAACTCGTTCTCATCCTGGACTTTGGTGTCGAGGGCAAAGAGGACCGTGTAGTGGGATTCACTACCCACAACCCATATGGGCCATTTCGGGCATTTTAGGTACTGCCCGACTTTGCAGAAGTGGAGGGATTCGAGAAGCGTGAGGAAGCCGACCTCGACTGGTGTGGTGATTCCTTTTACGAACATGCCCCCGCCCAAGTCCATTTTTCCGTCAAACACATTGGCCACGGCACTCCCGGAGAGTAATAAGTTCACAATTTCCTATTTGGCAAGTTTTCAAATTGTCTAGTCAGTAAAAATCATTTTTGATTATTCATAAAGGGGTATTAATGGAAAAAGGGTCCAGTCTAGACTTGAGATTGTACTCGTAAAAAATAAAAACGAATATTGAGGGTATTAGTAATTTTGAAAGATAGCACAGCTTCTTTATGTTTTCTCCTTTTTTCTTGCGGTAATTAGGCGAATCATCAAAGGCAACTTTTGTAATTAACTGAAGGACGAATTTCATTCGTAGCTAATACCTGTGAAGCATGCCCAAATGGAGCAGTGACTAACGGTTGACTTGGATCATCCCTGTCCTCTTGAACATTGTGCTGACAACAGCACATGAAGCATCATCAGGAACACAAAAGGAGAATCAAAGTTACCACATTTTAATAGATTATCTAACGAATTACAAAGATATTGCTTCTCTTGGCAAGTAATTTAATTGTGACATAGTAATAAACTAAAATCCACCCCATCCCTCGAAAGAAAGATAAAACATAGAATATGTAAGTAGTGCCCAGCTAGAATCTTGAGATATCAAAGAAATTGAACAATTTTAAATATACCAGTCCCCGAGACAACATTGCAGATATCAAGAAAAGCAATGCACCCAGACGACTTCGGAAAATAGGAAGCAGAATTTCTAGCTGGCGGAGTGCACTCCACCGAGAAGTACAGCTGTCAACTCTCAGAAACTTCTGCAGGTCGGCACCAGACTCAATAGAAAGACCTCTAAGAACTCCAGCGATTGCCTGCATAATACACACGAAAAAAATTTCTGACGTAATCATGATGAAAGAATAGGTAAAATGTAATTAATTTTGTCCCCCGACCCATCATATTTTTCACTTTCATAATATAATACTCTGTCTCCAAACATAAATTTATCAGCACCAAGTTTTGCATTAATGATGATGACGGCAGTCCAGATATCCAGCAACTGGATACCAAAAAAGGATATGACATAAAAAGACACGAAATACTAATTGCTTACCTCATCCTCCGATCCGTTCACGGACTTCAAGAAATCATGGTTGATAATATTTAAAGATGCTATTTGTGCTCTTTCATTACAGCCGCATAGGAAGAGTATCTCACACATACTGCTTACCAAGGCTCTGTCAAGAAGCAGCACGATTTAGTGAGTAAGATAAAAGCAACTATCCACCACTGAAAAAATTTTACCAAAATAAAAGCATTTAAAGTACTTCCAGCTTCCAATTCTAGTAATTCCAGCACATAGTAATTACAAATTTAATGGGGTTTAATAGACCATACATAGCAGTTCTCTCATCAGAATCACAACCTGAGACAATCTGAATTTGCTATTAAGCACAACAAGAACAAACATATAACATATCCACTTTCACTAAACAGTAATTAGAAATTAGCAGCATCACAAAACAGGGAAACAAACTCTTAGTACAGTTTTGGCAATGTTATACAATGCCATACAATCTTACATCAATACAAGAGGTTACACTTCGAACAATGATAAAGCTTACTGTGGAGGGTAAAATAAAAAAGAAAAAGATGGTCATACAACAGATACAAACGGGACATATAATAGCTGTATGAATGATGTAAGACGACCAATGACCTTGATTTTTTTCCTTCTGAGAGACGCGAGAAAATATCAGAAGCAACTGAATCATTATTGGCAACTCCTCTAAAAGACAAATTTGCTGTCATGTTTCGCTCATGATCATCAGATGGTTCTGAACAAAATATAAGATATTTGAGTACAAATGCCTGCATAGTCCAGATATATGTTGTTAGAGTAATAAAAATGAAACACATACATGCATCAGTGTAAAAGTAAAGGATGTTGTACACAACTTTGCCATGCAAATTTACAATGAGATTGCACCATGACGGAGCCCTCTTTTGTGAATACTTTGAGAAGCCTCACGTTGTTTAATTCACTCATAAATAAGTCAGAAAAGATGGCTACTCCAGTGACAGTAGGCAAAACCTATATGTATGTCCTTTGTTTCTAAGGATGGTACGTTTTTGCTTGGAAGGTGACATGAGAAACAATATCGTTACCTGTATTGCGGCTAGTACCCCACAGGGCCCACCCTCATGCTGTACTAGCCCCATCGATGTCTCTGGGTCAGCACTAAATCTGCAAGACAGAGCCGTTTTTCAAATAGCTTTTCAAAAGCTATTAGGAAACACACTCAATATTATTAATGATGACCAATATCCATACAAACATATATTACTTGGCTCGTCAGTCCCATTAATTGGTTTGTCAGGTCATTAGGAACACAAGAACAACATTATACACGTGTATTAGATTAACCACAGCATATTGGAATGCATAATCGGGCATACCTCATACTTAATGCAAACACAAAAAGGAAAGGGAAAAAGTTATGACGTGGCCCTTGGTATGTTTCAGTATATACAAAACTACGATGGAAAAGGAAAATTTATTAGGTCAAGGGGAAATCGGCGACCCACAACTTACCATAAAAAGAAACTGGAAACAATTTTTTTGGTCATTTCATCCTGGTCAACCAGTAATTATCATGTCATATACCTTCAATCGTGGCCAAATAACAGTTATACAAACCCTGGACTTTTGTTATTACTACTACACATTTTCACAGTAGTATCACAAAATGCATCAATCAAAATTCATTTACTTAGTTCAACGATCATGCTTCTCACCCCGTGACATGCTTATTAATTAGGGATTACTGGATTGTAAATAATAACCTACTAGATCGAAAAATCTAACATTCTTGATCATATGCAGTACTATTTAAACAAAATTTACCTAATACCCTGATTGCTCCACTGTGCAAGTACATCTTTACTGACCCTGTTCCCAAAAATCATCAAGAAGAGCTCATCAGCCTCCAAGATCGATAACGAGGTGTCAGAAATTCCGCTCCCACCAACTAAATTTTCCAAGTTAACGCCTTTACCTTTGCCATCACCTTCTAAACCCCAAACCCCCACGTCCTTCACACTCTCTGCATTCTTAACTGTCGTATTTAGAGCCGTACTGGCACCCACTGTCCCTGCAATTTTCACGTCCTTTGCACTCTCTACATTCTTCACCGCCGCCGGCCAAGCATTCATTGCCGCCGCCATCCGCCTCTCCGCCGCCGCAGCCATCAGTTCCCGCTGAGTGCGCCGATCCCTAACCTCCGGAGACTCCTCCGCGTCCGACGCCTCCATTCCGACGCCGGAATTCTCCCACGGCTTGCTCCGCTTAGGCTCAGGAGACTCCTGCTGCGGCGTGCTCTGTCTCGAGGCCATCTTCATATCCTCGTCCTCTTGATCCGCCATTTTCAATTCCGAATCTCAAAAAACAAGCTTCAATTCAATCAACAAAACGAGAAGAACGCGAGCTCTCACCTAAGAATGAGGGTTTAACGGGAAGGTTTCATTTCTATCCCTTCTAAACGGCCATGGATTGGCTGTGCAGTAAGGAGAAATCCTAAATTGATTAATCAGAATCTGGAAATGGAGTGTTAGCAATTGAGCGTCGGAACATTTTAGGGTTCTTAAAAATCGGTAATCAAAAAAATGAAACCTCTGTTTCAGTAGACGGGGGAAGAATGATACGTCGTCGTATGTGGGAATGATTTATTGGAAAAGACAGATGCGTCCTTTGAGCGAAAAGCGAAATAGTGTATGTGATGAGGGTAGGAAAGTAAATTCAATGTGCTTGGTAGTTAAAATGGAATTCCTGTTTAGTTGTGATTAGTAGTTATAACTATGTTAATTGATAAATATTATTGATGTGATGCAAGACAAACATTTTTGTTTTTGTTTTTTTTTTTTCTTTTGGCGAGTTGATGGAATTGCAAAGAAGACATAAAATAAATAGTAGTGAGATGATTTTTTTTTATTCGCTTTTCAGCTTCGATGGGAATCTCGATTGAAAAGGGAAAAATGAGAAATTTTAGTTAATAATATTAAAATTTGATGAACTGACGACTGAATATCAAAGGGTTAAAATTAAAGTTTTTTATTTACATCACTCGTCATGTAATAAGTCAAGTGACAATTGTCAAAACTTCTTATGTTGCATCAACAAGGAATTGTGTGATGTTGTTGTACACGATATGTCGTCTAGTTT